GTCTTCTTAATTACTATGTTATATTATTCATATAACACATAATATAATAGCAATCACAACAATATTATTTCTTCATAGAATTATATTATAATAGCGTGAATTTGCTAAAATATTGCAAAGATATTACACGAATATTAAAATGCCTGCCCAAATAAGTTATAATAACATAATAATGCCATATCACAATTGTATTATTGTAATATTGCGAAAAATTAAATTAATTTACATATTTTCATATTTTTAATTTACATATTTATTATAAATATACAGTAGTAGTTGCATTATTTAACTCCTCAAAGAATTGTCGTCAAATACAATGTATTACGATATTATATTAATAACATTTTATTATTGTAATAATCATTATAATACAATGTATCTGCAATATATTTATAATAGAATAATATAATTGTAATAAAATATCTGCAATATAACAATATCAATGAAAGTAATATCATAAAAAATAATTTTTATTAAGTTAATATAATCTTTTAAGTAATAAGAACTGGAAGATTTATGCAATAAAATGAAATCAATAAAGCAATATATTATAAACATTTTTATAATATTTCACAAAATTACAAAATAAATAATACATTATACTTCTAGTATATTGTGATATTATGGGCAAAATTTTCATAATATTATGTGCTATGTGAATAAAAACAAAATATTCATTACTATTTTATCTCTTTCGAAATAATCGTCATTGTTGATATCAAATTGTAATACAACTTAACATTCATATAGATTCAAGTGAAAGAATAGAAACATACATAACTGACTAGTACAAAATGTAAAATTACTTTAAATTATATACATCACTTGATAAAGATAACGTTTGCAACCATTTTATCATTGAATTATTTCTACAACTTGCAAATGCGCACCAGCTTGATAAAAGCACGTACTTGAATTATCTTTTTTATGTGCTGAAACATGTATCAATATATTCGTTGGATTTTTTCTAATCCTTTCCTGAGATCCTGAATACTCATACATATTATGAAATGTGAAGATATCCGGTTATAATTTGATGTGTTACTAATTAATTGATGTGTTATCACCTATTTTGAAGACGTCAGCATGAATGTTTCCAAGTCTTTTATTGCTTTATAATATAACCTGCAATTAAATGCAAATTTATAGAATAAATGTAATGAATTAATGTAATGAATATTAAAAATAAAATTACATTTCAGTTTTAGGCAAAATTTGATTTTATTGAAATTTGTATATATTCTTTAAATACTGAAAATTTGAATGTATAGTTTACACTTACCATTGACTTCTTTCACTTCCTATGACTGGCAAATGCGAAACCTCCTGATAAAAACCTGTGTTATTCCTCCGATTAACCGAGAATTGCATCGTCATATTGGCAGTTCTTCGAGTTTCTTCATCAGATTTTGAATACCTATTTGTAGAATATGCTAAATAGTCCATAGGACAAACTTCAACATTTGTTGCATTATGAGTTTGCAATATCTGCTGAGGAACATTTGTCATTACCGTTCGCTGATTCTGAACCGCTCCATAATGTAACCTTTAATTATATATAAATGAATGAAAAACGTAAAACAGTACATTCTAGAGTTGTGTTTCTATTACTATTGGAAACAATTAAGATACATATTAACTATGTGAACTACTGGATAATTTGTTTGAAATTAAATTCTATTATTTATAGGTTTGATAAATTGATCGTTTACTTTAATGTTGTTAGAATTTGAGAATATTTGAAATACCATTCAAATATAACAACTTCCGCTAATATCAAAACGTTTAGCTATAGAATAGATAATTGCAAATTAAGAAAATTTATTATATCCTTTTTTAAATAATCATTTCTAGCGATAAGATTAATAAATATAATATTCTTAGCGTTTGTATAAATAAAACGCGCACATAAAATACCTAACTAACGTATTTACAAAAATATGAGAACAAATGAATAACGAATATACAACTTTTAATTTACACACACATTATATTAATTTATTATATAAGAATTATATATGAAAGATAAAACAATGACATATAGAATTTTTACCATCGATCTCCTTCACTGGCTGTGTCTGGCAGGTATGCCTCTCGATAAATTCTTGAACTTGCAATATTCGGTTCATTTGTATGTTGCATTCTACGTAAATCTACGATATTTCTTCCAATTTCTTCATCAAGCTTTAAACATTTACTTACATTTTGAGATGTTAAAACATCTGGAGCTAAACTCTCATTATTTGATGTTTCAGATCGCAATATTTGTTTCAAAGTATTCGTCTGCATTATTGGTTGATCTTGAATTGATTCATAACAAGATCTGCAATATAGGATAATTAATAATAACATATAATACATTTTAAAATGAAATTATTAACTCATTTCAACAGTGTGAGTTAGTTGACAGGTATCATTTTTAAATCAATCTATTACGATATCTAGATATTAATTAAATAATTGCAAATCTTAATTACCAAGTTTCTGTAATAACTTGATTTAATGCAGATACTTTTTAACATTATAAATTTATAAAACACGCATGTTGAATTACTGACTAAGATTTATATAAATATTATGGTAAACAAATGGTAAACAAAAAAGTCAAGTCAGTATCAAACTTTTAAAATACATTGCATAATTGTACGTTTGTAAGTCATTCTTAAAATATAAATTTATACTGTTGATAACATTTACCGTTGTCTTTTCTTATTTTCCATAGCGCAATCATTCTTTGCGCTTTTGTCGTTTAATTGCTGCATCATTATGTCTGCATTATTATCTTCATTTTCTCTTTCAGTTCGCGTACTGTCACTTATACCATGGAACACTAAGTGATTCGCTAAGCCATTTATTCCTAGAAATATCGTCAATTTGCGATCGCAGTGAATGCATTTTATCATATGACTGTCATTGCTGATAGCAAAATGTCGTACTAACCAGGCACGTTTAATCGTTTCTTTTATATTTATTACTTTCTGTTTATGTTTTCTTGTCAAATGGAATGTCAAACATACCACATCGTATGCATTCTTTATCAGCTGATTGCAAATAATACATTTTGCGGTATATCCTTCTTCTTTAGTGAAATATTGCCATAACAAGTTGTAAGTACTTTCGAAATTTTTCCACTCGTTGTCGTTTGATAAATTATGAAAATTATATAAATGTTGTTTCATTTTTCTTGTAATGCCTGCAGCTTTATAAATTTTATCACAATGATTACATTTTATTTCATTTTTGTTTATTGATGTATAATATTGCCACGCCCACGAATATTTCAACGATAGTAATATATCCACGTTACTTTTTACATTTTGATTATTATTTCTTGGATTTTCATTTATATGACGACAGATTTGTAAGTGATGCGTTAAGGTATCTATACTATTTAATATATTCAATTTGCTATTGCAATGAATGCATCTCGCCATACAACCTTTTATGTCTGCGAAATGCGATGATAACCAACTGTTTAAAATTGGTTTTTGTATTTTTATTACCTCTTCTTGATGTTTTTTCAAAAAATGTCTTGTTAAAGTTTGTGTGCTATAAGCATGTCTTAACAATGCTTTACAAATCTTACATATTGCAGTTGCATAATTTTCTCCTTTTATGTAATATTGCCATATTAAGTTAGGCTTACTTTTCTTATTTTTCCACACTAAATCATCGTAAATATTTATGTCATGCTTACGTAAATGTATTTTTATTGTCGGTTTGGAATGTATGTTTTTATTTCCGGTATTTTTATAAATTTTATTACAATAATTACACTTTATATTATCACTTATTTTGGTATAATGTTCCCACAGTTGGTTCCGTATTTCTTCCATTGCTTTTGCACAATATCTCTGAGCGTATATTACTGAATATGTTAGGATGACTGTCATACGACAATATTCCAAAAGACTGTTTGAGAGGTCGAGAAAAATGTTTGAAACTTACCTAAGATATAAATATTAGTATGTAGTTTAATGCTAAGTTGAGATATTTATTTAATAGATATTTTGTGCATTTAAATTTTTCAATATTTAATTATAAAACATATATGTAATACGAAAAATAATATCTTTTCGATATAATTCTATATATGAAATATATATAGCATTTCTCATTTCATAAGTTTTAAATATTTTGATATAAAACAGAATATTGAATGTTTTCAGTTTCTAATTTAAAGTTGTAACATTTAAATTTTGAGAAAGTTTTATATTATATCTATGAAGTTTGAAAGCGGTAAAAATATTTAAATGTGCAAAAACATGGTATATTAGTGTAAGCATAAAACTAAATAAAATAAAATAAAATAAATATGTTATTTATATTATATGTTACTTATAAATCTTTATTTAAAAAGTTATAAAACATTAACGTATGAAATTGCTACGGTCTAACTTATTACGTAATATAAATTACACAGAGCTGCAGTTTTGCAAAAATTGTTAAATTAATTATCAAAATTTATTAAATCTAAACAAATATTTCTTTCTGTATAGAAACATAAATGAGGAGAAAAATTATATTAAATAATATGTATTGTATTATTAATATAAATTATATATGCATGTATATTACAATATTAGTTACAGATATAAATAATAATATATAAATCTTGAATGTTTAAATTTAATATATATCATATTATATAAAAAAATAACTGTTATTAATATAATGTATAATTTATCTAATCTTTTATCTTTACTATCAATACTGACGATATGATTGCGTATACCCGTTTTAATTTTGTTTTTAATTTTGTTGTATAATTATATTAAATAGAAACAGAATTATAAAAGAAATATTTATATCGATAATATCGAAGCTCATTTTTTATTTGAGCTGTACTTCAGATTTTATTTCTAATTATCTTTTTTCTTCTATTCTCAAGACCGTATGTTATGAGGCAATATTGCAATTCACTTATCAATATATTTGAAGTTTTTATATTATTTTAGAACAATACAATAATAAAAATTTATTTCATATTATGTTACATAGCAAAATATGTTACATATGCATATACAAAAGCTATGATTAAATTAACATAAAAATATGAATAAGGAAATTATGTGTGACTGTACATTAATAGTTTAAATCAATAACATCTTTATCTCAATAAAATTGAAATAGATAACATAAACAAACAATTAAAAAGTAAAAATACATTATTATGTATTTTAATTATAGATAATATATTTCTAATTCTATTTAACAAATTAATACAGTACAACTCAACTTTTGTTTCTCATCAAAGATTTTTATAGCACATAAATAAATATTTTTCTAGATAAATATATTATTTTAAAGAGAAAATGTAAATATAAATAAAATAAGATTTAGTATGCGCAAGATTTACAATAAGAAATTAGCATTATATTATTTTAACCATTAATAATGATGATTCGATTTTCATTTTTCAAAATTGCACATTTCATTCTATAAATTCTTGTAAATAAGAGCGATAATTACAATGAAACCTCATTACATTCGACAGGTAAAATTTTAATATACTTGAGATTAAAATACTTAATGCAAGTATGCAAGATTGATTTGAGTTCTTAATATAAGACTTAATATTTTGTTTTCTTAAATACAAAATCATTCTAAATGTGAAACAGGTATAAATCATGAGCAAATGCTTCATTTTTTAATCAAATTCTTCATTGTTGCATAAATCGTGAGCAAATGCTTCATTTTTTAATCAAATTCTTTATTGTTGCACTTAAAAGCCATCAAAAAGTTATGTAATCCCAATTTCGCTACCGCGATGGCTGGACACTTTCGATTTTCTATCAGAATCCATCGCGATAGAAATAAAAACCTCGGAAATTCTCTTATCCAAGCCTGTATATGTCTGTGCTAAATCAACTTGATCTTCATTAGTCGATAATATCTTTGGAGACTCGTTTTTAATTTCAGTATATCTTCTTGTTTCCTCCTGATCTGCGTACTGCTGACGTTTGTGCTTTGGTCGAAACTATATAAATACACACATTAAACAAGAATTATTTTAATAAATTAATAAACAAACTAATTTGCATATAAATTGAAATACAAAAAGTCTATGTCAAAAAGTCTGAATATTTATAATACCTTTTATTATATTGCATTAATTTTGTTATTTGTTATTTAAACAGCTTTTTTATCATTTATTAAAATCAAATTATATAATTCAAAAGTTCATTTGAGATTGAGGACATCCAGAGTATATGGGAGACATATGGGACAACATGGGCACAGCATCATATGGCATCGGCGTCGAAATCGCAAGGGATCTAGGTACAAATCCTCCGGGTGCCGATGGCATGCCGTATGGTGGCTATAATAAATGTTTTCTCTATTAATTCCATATAGTTGTATCTCTTTAGACACATGCACAGATTCCATTTTAATTGTTTGCTTCAATTATAATTGAATATTGAATTATTATTTCTTTGGGAAAATTAAATGGTATCAGAGAGAATATTAAAAAGATGGAATCTTGAATTAGAAGTTGAGGCCGTGGGAAAAGAAATTGAGGACGCTTACATGAATCATTGGATGCATCGGCACTGGGTGCACGACGTAAATAAGTGTTGGTTTTTAGTCGGCATGGTATAATTCTGCGTGATGACCCATTGATGAACCACATTACGCGTCTTCAGACTCAGATCGCTCATTATTTCGTCAGTAGTGTTTGATTATAGGCAGCTACATAACTTTGATGACAAGGTCAAATAGTTATAACTGGATGCTAATAGTTCTGCTGCTAGCTACCAATAAACCGATACTCGCTAGTAAGTCTGCCAAACCGTTAGCTACTCCCATCACATTGCTATCATCACTCTGAAACATACATTGGAATTCCTAATCCACAACGCAATAATATTTACACTTATATCAATTCAGTTCAATAATAAACATTAAAAATAAAAGGTAGTATAAAAAGAAATTATTTTTTCTTAATTTTCATTTTTCAAAAAATTTTGCCCTATTTTGAGACTAATGAAAAGGCTCGATTTGGAGTAAAAATTTAAATTAGAAACTATTAGAACTATCCTTTTCAAAATATCACATATTTGAATATTAAATAGTTGAGAGTACAAACTAGACGCGAGATGAGCAGAAGAGAAAGCAGAATTTGTTTTGATGGAGGACGCCGCTAATGTCGCGACCATTCCAAGTGCATCGGCAACCAAGGCAGCCGCACCTGTCCAGAGCATCCTGAACCAGATCCACCTAAGGAAGCTCCGTGGACGAGCACCAGAATACAAAGACAACCAATACAATACCTGAGTGCAAGATCAAACGTACAAATTATATTACGTTCTTAACTTTTACAATTTTATTTTTTCAAAATATGATTATCAAAATTACTTGAAAGAAGTCATTTCGATAATCGACATTATATTTATCCAACAAAAATGTCTTTAATTATACAAAAAATAATATCAATAATATCAGCGTGATAATCAGTGGAATTAATAAAAAGCTCTCTTGACTTACCGAGAAGTAATTGTCCGCAAGATGTAAACATCAATAAATTCGAATCTCCCTTATTTTCGGCAGCCGTTCGCAGATCCTGTTGACCCTCGCATTTTGGTAGCTGCTGCTGCAGCTGTTGCTTTTCCGATATAAGGACATCCTTCGAGTGTTTTGATTCTAGATAACTCTCTGGCTTCAATTCCGAGTTCACCGAATCTTTCGATTCCTTCGAGTGACTCGAATTTTGACTTCTTATCGTAGAGTCAAGCGCGATCGTTGCTGTCTCTTCCATGATTTTCTTCGATCAAATCAATCATACTTACTTTTATGAGAATTTTATCGAATTATCACTTTCGCTCAAGATAATTTTCTGTCGGCAATTACTGCTCACTTGCGATTTAAAATTATTATTTAAAACTCAAAGTAGAGCTGGAAATATCTTAATTGACGACAGTCATTTCGACTTGTAAAATTTCCAAAATGATTAGAAATTTTGAATTCATTTTAATCTATTATCTGGGATGCTAATTACTCATAGACAACATAGATCTGATCGTCTTTCCGATCTGTCATTTCTTTCTGGAAATTATTTGTTTAAAAATTTAATAAACATTTTTTATTTACGAATGTAAATATTATCAGTTTTATTTACGAATCTTTTTAAATTAGTTTGGAATAAGTTATGATATTACATCTTTGTAATGTTCGACTTTTCAATAGCGGATCTTTACTACCACTATTCAATATAATTCATTCTATCAGACCAAATGTAATACAATTATTACAAATGTAATACAGTTATTACCCAACATATTTGTATATATTTGCTTGCCGACTAAGTGAGATTGAATTTCAATAAAAAAATTAAGCGGTTATAACAAAAATGAATTTATTTTATCAAAAATTGTGTTAATATTAATACAATCATTAATAGAAATTATTTAGAGAAGACTTGAAAAAAGACTTGTCACAGCTCTTGTTTTTTAACTATTTTACTATATGTATATATATATATATATATAAAATATCATTTCTTCATAGAATCATATTATAATAGAGTGAATTTGCTAAAATACAAAGATATTACAGGAATATTAAAATGCCTGCCCAAATAAGTTATAATAATATAATAATGCCATATCAAAATTTTATTACTGTAATATTGCGAGAAATTAAATCAATTTACATATTTTCATATTATAAATATACAGCAGTTGCATTATTTGTAATTCCTCAATGAATTGTTGCCACATCAAATGCAATGTATTATGTGATATTGTATTAATAACTTTTTATTATTGTAATAATTATTATTTAATAATATAATCATCATAATACAATGTATCTGCAATATATTTGTAATAGAATAATATAATTGTAACAAACATCTGCAATATAACAGTGTTAATAAAAGTGATAATATATAAAAAAATAATTTTTATTACGTTAATATAATCTCTAAGTAATGAGAACTGGAAGATTTATGCAATAAAACGATATCAATAATGCAATATGTTATAAACATTTTTATAATATTTTGCAAAATTACAAAATAGATAATACATTATACTTCCAGTATATTGTGATATTATGGGTAAAATTTTCATAATATTATGTGCTATGTGGATAAAAATTCTAAAACAAAAAATTCATTACTATTAGTATTTTATATCTCTTTCGAAATAATCGTCATTGTTGATATCGAATTGTAATACAATTTAATCGAATTGTAATACTTAAAATTCATATAAATTCAAATAAAAGAATAGAAACTAGAATAGAATACATAAGTGAATAGTACAAAATCACTTTAAAATAGTATAAAATTACTTTAAATTACATACATCATTTGATAAAAGATAACGTTTGCAACTTTTATCATTGAATTTTTTTATTTTCTGCGACTTGCCAATACTTGCACTAGCTTGATAAAAGCATATATTTGAATTATCTTTTTTATATGCTGAAATATGTATCAATATATTCGCTGGATTTTCTCTAATATTTTCCTGAGATCCTGGACACTCACATATATTATGAAATGTAAAGGTATCCGTTGCAAAATGATAATGGTTTGATGTGTTACTAATTAATTGATGTGTTATCATTTGAAGACTTCAGCATAGATGTTTGCAAATCTTTAATTGCTTTATAATATAACCTGCAATTAAATGCAAATTTATAGAATAAATGTATTAATGTAATGAATATTAAAAATAAAATTACATTTCAGTTTTAGGCAAAATTTGATTTTATTGAAATTTGTATATATTATTCTTTAAATACTGAAAATTTGAATGTATAGTTTACATTTACCATTGACTTCTTTCACTTCCTATGACTGGCAAATGCGAATCCTCCTGATAAGAACTTGTGTTATTGCTCCAATTAACCGAGAATTGCATATTGGCAGTTCTTCGAGTTTCTTCATCAGATTTTGAATACCTATTTGTACCGGAATATGCTAAATAGTCCATAGGACAAACTTCAACATTTGTTGCATTATGAGTTTGCAATATCTGCTGAGGAGCATTTGTCATTACTGTTCGCTGATTTTGAATCGCTCCATAATGTAACCTTTAATTATATATAAATGAATGAAAAACGTAAAAGACTACAATCTAGAGTTGAGCTTCCATTACTATTGGAAACAAATACTGTTGGAAACAATTAAGATACATATTAACTATGTGAACTACTGGATAATTTGTTTGAAATTAAATTCTATTATTTATAGATTTGATAAATTGATCGTCTACTTTAATGTTGTTAGAATTTGAGAATATTTGAAATATCATTCAAATATAACAACTTCCGCTGATATCAAAACGTTTAGTTATAGAATAGATAATTGCAAATTAAGAAAATTTATTATATCCTTTTTTAAATAACCATTTTTAGCGATAAGATTAATAATTATAATATTCTTAGCGTTTGTATAAATAAAACGCGCACATTAAATATCTAACTAAAGTATTTACAAAAATATGAGAACAAACGAATAACGAATATACAACTTTTAATTTACACACACATTATATTAATTTGTTATATAAGAATTATTTTATGAAAGATAAAACAATGACGTATAGAATTTTTACCATCGATTTCCTTCACTGGCTGTGTCTGGCAGGTATGCCTCTCGATAAACTCTTGAACTTGCAGTATTCGATTCATTTGTCATATGTTGCATTCTACGTAAATCTACGATATTTCTTCCAATTTCTTCATCAAGCTTTAAACATTTACTTACATTTTGAGATGTTAAAACATCTGGAGCTAAACTGTCATTATTTGATGTTTCAGATCGCAATATTTGTTTCAAAATATTCGTCTGCATTATTGGTTGATCTTGAATTGATTCATAACAAGATCTGTAATATAGGATAATTAATAATAACATATAATACATTTTAACTGAAATTATTAACTCATTTCAACAGTGTGAATTGGTTAACAGGTATCATTTTTAAATCAATCTATTACGATATCTAGATATTAATTAAATAATTGCAAATCTTAATTAACAAGTTTCTGTAATAATTTGATTTAATGCAGATACTTTTTAACATTATACATTTATAAAACACGCATGTTGAATTACTGACTAAGATTTATATAAATATTATGGTAAACAAATAAAAAGTCAAGTCAGTATCAAACTTTTAAAATACATTGCATATCAATTGTACGTTTGTAAGTCATTTTTAAAATATAAATTTATACTGTTGATAACATTTACCGTTGTCTTTTCTTATTTTCCATAGCGCAATCATTCTTTGCGCTGCTTTTGTCATTTAATTGCTGCATCATTATGTCTGCATTATTTTTTTCATTTTCTCTTTCAGTTCGCGTACTGTCACTTATACCATGGAACGCTAGTAAGTGATTCGCTAAACCATTTATTCCCAGAAATATCGTCAATTTGCAATCGCAATGAATGCATTTTATCATATGACTGTCATTGCTGATAGCAAAATGTCGTACTAACCAGGCACGTTTAATCGTTCCTTTTATATTTATTACTTCCTGTTTATGTTTTCTTGTCAAATGGGATGTCAAACATACCACATCGGATGCATTTTTTATCAGCTGATTGCAAATAGTACATTTTGCGGTACATTCTCCTTCTTTAGTGAAATATTGCCATAACAAGTTGTAAGTCGTTTCGAAATTTTTCCACTCGTTGCCGTTTGATAAATTATGAAAATTACATAAATGTTGTTTAATTCCTCTTGTAATGCTTGAACCTTTATAAATTTTATCACAATGGTTACATTTTATTTCATTTTTGTTTATTGATGTACAATGTTGCCACGCCCATGAATATTTCAATGATAGTAATATATCCACGTTATTCTCTACATTTTGGTTATCATTTCTTGGATTTTCATTTATATGACGACAGATTTTTAAGTGATTCGCTAAGGCATCTATACTATTTAATATATTCAATTTGCTATTGCAATGAATGCATCTCGCTATACAATCTTTTATGTCTGCGAAATGCGATGATAACCAACTGTTTAAAATTGGTTTTTGTATTTTTGTTACCTCTTCTTGATGTTTTTTCACAAAATGTCTTGTTAAAGTTTGTATCTTATTAGCATGTCTTATCAATGTTTTACAAATCTTACATATTGCAGTTGCATAATTTTCTCCTTTTATGTAATATTGCCATATTAAGTTAGACTTACTTTTCTTATTTTTCCACACTAAATCATCGTAAATATTTATGTTATGCTTATTTAAATGTATTTTTATTGCCGGTTTAAAATGTATGTTTCCGGTATGTTTATAAATTTTATTACAATAATTACACTTTATATCATTATCACTTATTTTGGTATAATGTTCCCAAATTGGGTAATGTGTTTCTTCCATTGCTTCTGCACAATATCTCTGAGTGTATATCACTGAATATGTTAGGATGACAAAATCATACGACAAAAGACTGTTTGAGAGGTCGAGAAAAATTTGAAACTTAAGATATAAATATTAGTATGTAGTTTAATGCTAAGTTGAGATATTTATTTAATTTTTGTAAACATTGTCATGATGTAGATTGCTATTAATTTATCATGTTAATTTTTATATAAAAGATGCACGTTAAATACTTGAGCTTTTTTGTATCTTGCTTTATTAATTAATTTGGAATTTATCTTGTTTTGTTTTGTTTTAAATAGCTATCTTTTTAAGTTAAATGACAAAAATAATAAAAATTGACTGTTATGTCTTTCTTCCTTTCTTCAATTCACCGACTTTCGAAATATATAAAATATTAGACAATAATAAAGTTAATAAGATTCAAATCGCTGATAACAGTGATGACATGATTAGTTATTCTAATTGATTCATTTTATATCATTATAAAATTCTATACTTTAAATGTTTCGATTCAGTTTCATCAACAGTAAACAATCTATGGCTATGTTCAGCAGAAAAAGCAGTTTTGCAATTGTTATAAAATTTTTTAATATGATTGTTCTATACATTTAGATCCATGAGGAACTTTGGGCAAAAATCAATTATATCAAAGATTTATACAACAGTTGCAAAGCTGCTTTTTCTGCTGAGCCATTACGTTAGTTATACAGATAAACGATAATAAAACAATACACAAATCATAAAACCGCTAAACCATTTTAAATTTAAATTAACGCAAATGACAAATTTTTGCTGATGATAAATTTTTAATTTGCCATATTTTAAACCGCCATTTTTGAATTTTTGAATAATCTGATTTCAAATTCTGATTTAGTGGCCTCAAAAACCTTTTTATTAAAATTATTACACAGTTTTTAAAACTTTTTCTTCAAAAATATTAACGGTACAAAATGTTTTTCATGGCTACTTAACGACGCAACTGGATGAAAAAAAAACGTACGGCATTAAAAAAAATCTATTTTAAAGATCTATTTTAATGATAAATGTCACTTTAAAATGACGTAAACAAAAGTAGAAAAAAAATTTACTTTGCCAACAAAAAAATTACAAATATGTCAAGAAACGTCAATTTTTACATTTTTAACAAACTTTTTTCAAAAATCTGACGTAAGCAATTTAATTATCAGATTCGTGTTCAGCGCGCAAAATATACAGAAAAATGTATCTTTTATTCAAACAACAGAAACGTCGGCCAGTGTTATTATTTAATTTATATCTAATTTATATCTCTTTCGAAATAATCGTCATTGTGATATTAAATGGCATTGTAATATAATTTAAATTCAAATGAAAGAATAGAAACAATATATAGGAAATAGTACAAAATATAAAATTGCTTTTAAAATTATGTACAATGCTTGATTAAATAAAAATGTAATGTGTCGTACGTAGAATAGGTGTGCCTTGACTCTCTCACTATTCGAATACCTGAAAATTTAAATTTAGTCAAATAATGTTGGAAATACGAATCTAATTATTCTAATATAAAAACTTCCAAGAATTTCAATTCACAATATTTTAATATTAAATAGATGAAAATAAATAATAAATGATAACGTTTACTTAATGAATTAACTATAAACATTTTATTATAATATTAATAGCACTAATTATCCACTTTAAATATTAAATATCTACTAAAACTTTTAAATTAATCTAATGTAATACTAAAGATCAAATTTTTTTGTATGCTGTGCATTATACATTTTAAATTAATTTATTATATATGATATTATTATATGATATAATTATACATGTATTTACTCAACTACATGTATTTACATAAAAGATAAAGGACTAATATTTGTAATACCATTATAGTTTTTCATCTTCTATGATTTGCGAATGGCATCCGTTTGATGAATGCAGTGGCATTATTCTTCATCTGGTTGTCGTTTCAATGTATTTGTGATGTATTTTTTTGGATATCTTTGCAGATTTTATGTACTTATTCATATTATAAAATATGAAGATGTCCAAAGCTGAATAAAAATAATTACCATTTACCATATTATTTGTTTGCAATATATGTTTCCGAATTATTCATCATTTCTGTCTGCTTTGAATTGCTTTAATATACAATCTGCAACAATAAGCAACATAAAAGATGGATGCTGAACTAAAATAATTAATACAGATGTAAAGTTACTTTCAAATCTGATATTTTGTTTGATTATATTGAAATTGAGAGTACTATTATTTGCACATTGAAATTTTAAATGTCGAAATAAATATTTACAGAATGCGAGAATACTCGCAAAATAAAATCAAATGTAATAATTTCTGTCAATTACTAAATATGTGATATTTAATTACATAAGAGTAATTTTATATTAGCAAAATTTCATATTGATTGAAACAAGGAAACATAACTATAATATTCATAATGCTCATTTAGTTTTTTTAATAATATATAATAATACTATTTTAATAATACTATGTTACGCCTCGAAACAAACACATTTTATGTATATACATA